AGAACACGAGGAGCCACATCACACAGGACACGAGGAACCACATCACACAGGACACGAGGAACCACATCACACAGGACACGAGGAACCACATCACACAGGACACGAGGAACCACATCACACAGGACACGAGGAACCACATCACACAGGACACGAGGAACCACATCACACAGGACACGAGAACCACATCACACAGGACACCCACATCACACAGGACACGAGGGCCCTCATCACGCGGAACACAACCAAGAACATGATCAGGGACATGGGCTCGGCGGACGACCTGAGGATCACATCCCAGAAGAAATCCCCGCTCGTCCCTCTGGGGGTGAACAGCCTGAAGGTGAGACCATAGTTCTAATTCGTAAAAACATACTGAAGATCATTCTTGATCCTTACAAATATATATTGATATAATGCAATATTATTATTCTTCATTTATTTATTTATAATGTATGTCACTCGACACAGATCAGCAAAAGATTCCAGAGCCGATTGTACAGCTTAGCAAATGGCAGTAAAACTGTTGTATCTGTCTGATGCTCACAGCTTCTCTTTCTGTCTCTAGGCCAGGCTGTAGACAGTGAGACAGAGGATCGAATATATCGAATGGAGGAGGATGTGCAGCGTCTGAGCCGAGGCCTGGAGACCCTGAGAGGAACTGTGAACGGACTGGAAGAAAGTCTCCGAGCCTCGCTGAGAGAGGACGCCAACAGGATGCTGTCGGCGCTGCTCTCCGCTGCCCCCGGTGCCGTCCCCGCCCCAGCTGCTGCCTCCGGTCAGTCCACTGTCGGGTTCGTAGAGATTTCTTTGGGAGGCCCTGAGGCCGAGGGACTGGACGGCAGAACAGTGTTTCCAGGGCTTACAGAGCTGAACGGGAGGGTGGAGGAGCTCAGGACTGTGCTGCAGGCCAAGACATTAGAGCTGCAGGAACTCAAAGCAACAGTGACAGGACATGATGGAGCGCTGAAGAAGATGTCGGCAGGAATGATATCAAACTCCACGGTCAGTCTCGAAGGAGCGCCGCAGATAGCTATAGAGAACTTGATGGATGGCAAGCTGAGTGAAGCCAGGTCGGAAATCCTTGGTGGGTTTGAGGTGCGAGTGAAGAGCGCAGAGGGCAAATGTGAGGAGAAAGCTGGGGATCTGCGTCGTCAGTGCCAGAGAGAGCAGAGCGAGAGGCAGGAGCAGATGGAGGACACTCTGGAGGGAAGCAACACAGACCTCAGATCAGAGCTGAGAAACCTCCAGACGCAGATCCAAGGTTTGAAGGCTTCAGGGAACTGCTCCAGTAGAGTGGGTGGGCTGGTTGAACGGGTGCACAGGCTGGAAACATCAGTGGCAGGCCTCAACCAGTCCCAGGGGCACCTGAGGGTGGAGCTGGGCGGACACAAAGACCACATAGAGGGGATGCTGGAGGGGCGTCTGGGGTATCTAGAGGCCAAGCTCAATGTGAGCGGGGAGTCACAACACAACAGTTCTGAAAGAGGGAGTGTATTCCCTGAGGCAGGACAGGGTGTGGAGGCCAGGATGGAGGGTCGGCTGCTGGCTCTGGAGGACCGTTTACTGATGGCGTTAGAGGAGCTGGTTAACTCCACGTCCCCCGCACAGCAGGAGGGTCATGCTGTTCCCGCTCTGGAGACGGAGATGGATTCCATCAGAGAGAAAGTGGAGGTGGATGTGGATAGACTGCAGAGGCAACTGAGCAGCCTTGAGACCCGCTGCACCTCTTCCTCGACTAAAACACCGTCCGCCATCCAAGGAGACTCTGCCGCCAATCCATCAGAGGAGCAGAACGCGAAGGACGCACTGGACATGCAAGGGGATCGCTTAAAAAGGCTTAACGTCACCCTGCAGAACGTCCTGAAGCGTCTGCACCAGCAGGAACAAGCGGAGGGAGATTATCCCGTCCAGGGGGAGCTCACAATCCTCAAGTTCAATGTGCGCTCGGTCAACCACACCCTCAAAGACCTCCAGGAAACTCTGGGGACAGTCGTCCACCAGGTGGGACAGGCCAACAGCTCCTGGCAGACGAGCGAGGCGAGTCTGGCCAAGCAGATAAAGGGTGTGGTGCAGCTGGTCGGACATCAGGCCGCCATGCTCGGTGCAGGCGAGCGCCGACTGACCCGGGTTAAAGGGGAGCTGCAGGGCATGAGGAGGCGTCTGGCTGAGGAGGTGCGGGGCTGCCGGAGCACGGCCATGGGCGTCAGGAAAGAGGTGACTGAGGTCGGAGGGCGCGTTACCAGTGTGGAGGACCAGTGTAAGGGCCTGAGTTACCTGGCGGAGGACCTGGAGAGGATCAGGGAGGAGCTGGAGAAACAGTCGAGCGGTCTTCTGGTGCAAGTCAACGGGACGCTGTCCAGCCACGCGCAGCAGCTGTCGGAGCTCAGAGGAGAAGTGAGAAACTGCACGGCCCAGCTGGATCCAACACAACACAGTTCAGAGCCGGAGCCGAGGCGAGGAGACACCTTCGCTTTGAATTAGCTCAGTTCATACGGACAATACATTTTTTAAATGAATGAAAAAGGGGGAAATACTCTGCAGGTACTGGGGTTCACTAAAACTCCATCTTATCATTTGAATTGTAAAATACAAAGGTTTTGAACCTGCACTGAAATGAGGATGGCTTTAGTCGGCTTACAGTATGAAATAAAGAATGGCAGCTGCCTAATAACAACATCTTGAAATTGGTGCTAGAATGAACTCTAAATGTTACTGTACTGTTTCTGTAAAGCTTTCCAAAACATTTTGTATGAACGGTTGTTTACATGTTTAGGTTTTTGTATTGATTTTTCTTATGTGTAGACGAGTTGTGTATTATGTTTTTATATTGTTTAAGTTCTTGAGTATACTTTTCTATTCTGATTGTAATACTGCATAAAATGTTGGCGTTTCAATACTGACAATCAAATAAACATGTTTCTTTAATACTTGTGTTTTCTTGGTACACAGCATGTCCAGAAGAAGTGTTGAATACATACAAACAAATGTATTGAGGTTTTGTGGTCCAACCCTGACTTGAGAAACTATACAGTACATGTTTAACGTTTTTATAATGAATGGCACAAAAAGGGAAAATAAAGAAAGAGTATTATGGCACAACAATCCAAGAGGTTAGCACTAAAAATCTAAACTAAAAGAACATTCCCTAAGAGGTCGTCACTGCGAAAACAAACACAAATGGAAGGAAACAAACAAATGTCACCATACTCGTCTCCCCTTGCAACGCATGGTACAAGCTGCCTCCTGTCAAAGCAAACCATCAACATAGAGCAGGCTCAGCTTTACTTTGTAACCCTTAGACTATATATTATTATACTGACAGGTATCAGATCTTGCTGTGTAAAATAATCTCCCTGAGAGGTGTCACTTGTGATGTAGTCTGTGTGGTCTACAGTGAATGTAGTCCAGAGGATCCCATAGGAAATGCATGCTGGTCATTTTTGACCACTTATGGAAGGAAAAAAGTAAAAAGACCCACTTATGCATCTAAGGGTTAAAAGAAGAAGCCCTATAGAAAAATACATTCTTACTTTTTGACTTCAAACACTCTGCATGACATACAGTAATGCTTGCTCTTATGCTGACTTCCAACCATTTCAATAGGACCGTTTAGATGGAGCCCCTTTGTGAGTGATATTAAACAAATGGTTGAGCTTCAGTTGATGCAGACGAGTGGGAAAACCACAAGATGGCAACAGAGAAGCATTCAAACAATTAGACTGCTTGACATAACCTTCAATTAAAGTGAGTCTTCTAATCGAGTGTATGGGAACAGCCCTCGCATGCCAGAGAAACAATTCAATTAGTCATAATTGCCAAGGTGATAAAGACAAGGTGAGAAAAACAAGAGTAGCAGACTACATGTAATCTCCCCTCTATAAATCTAGCAGCACGGCGTACTGGGTAAACTTCTCATTGGGCCTAACAATAGGGTGATAAGTGACTTTGCTTATAACCCTCACCTGTCATTTCCCGCTCCCCCGACGGACAAAAACCTATTAAAATGACAGCTATGTGGGAGATGAGCCCACTGCTGCGTGAAAACGCTGTAACCCCAGACATGTGGGGAATAATAACCGCCCAAATGCCACAGAGGAAAAAGCAGGGCAGGCAGAACAGATTTGTGTAGGAACAGCGGAGTGATGGAGCGATATCAGGACAGAAAATAGACCTATAGTGATCCAGGTTCATGGACACACAGAAAGTGAGGGGAAGAGAAATGTGCCACTGCTTCCACAGGCAACCTTTATTCATGCTAAACTAACACAAATAAATGCTTTTACCTAACAAGTATGTGACTTCAAAAATATCAAGTTCAAGTTATACAAAAAATAAAAATGCTTTCTGTTACATAATAAATACAATCTGTTTGCTTAAAAGGTAGGGTAGGTAATTCACTTCAGAAACACTTGTTATATTCCATGGAATGCTCTTAACATCCCGATAGCAATGAATATCTGAAGTGCTTTGACAATAAATACATAAAAAATATCATCTGTGGAAGCCGTGCTGTAAAAAGCACAATAACGGGCCCTGCCTGTCAGCCTTCCATCTGTGCACAAATTTCTCATTGGTCATGTGCGCGTTCGTGTGTGTTGGAGGAGGGGCTCTGTTCACCTACCTTTAAGCTAGATTTCTTTAAAATGTTTAACAAACTGGCCAATTTCAAAAACACATTGTGCACAAAACAACACGTAGGATTGTATTTTATGTGATTTTAATACAAACAGTGCTTGCATGACTTTGACTGGTCGATAAGGATTACTGTCTATCAGTTGGAATACCTAGGTTTTGTTGGCCGAAATAAAAACAATAAGTGTGGCTTGATATTGAGTAAGAAAAAGGTTTTTAGGTTGATAAACGCTGTGAGAATGGGTCTGCAGAGAGAATTTCGCGCGATCCCAACTGGGAACCCACATCACGCGGAACACAACCAAGAA